TTTAGCGCTTCAAATATACTATTGCTGGGTAGGTATTGAATAGGCAAATGTACCTTTGTTATAGCGTAGTCTGAAAACATTTAAACGTTAAATAACGGTAGAATGACAATTAAATATTAGTGTATAAGTACTGTTTTCCAATACTTTGTAGAGATGTATATGTAAATATTGTCAACATTAAAAGTATTTTCTGTGATATACAAAAAAAAAAAAATACTAAATTTCGTAAATGTGTGCACATTACTAAAGGTTCATCAGGCAAATAGAATATCAACATCAATGGGTCATTGCAATATATTTACAGCTGCTTCCATCAGTGGGTAATTTTTTAAACAGATATCAAGAGGCAAGTATCTTGATCACACAGACAACTTTTAATCATGTCTTGACCAGTCAGACGCCTTTCACGAATGTATAGATATATTACCCGCTATTTGTTCGTAATCTATTTTAGTAAATGGTTCATTGACGTGTGAGGCGCCAGTGTTATGGTTGATGTGTGACGGAGAGGTTGATCAAAGCCTCGACCAGTTTTGTTTACTGAAGTTGGCCACATTAACACAAGTGTTAATTTGATAGAAAACAAGCTACCTGCTCTTCCCTCTAGTGTAAAACGGATGGTTGTGGTGATCATTCTTTCCCTCTCCCCGGTGTTGGTGATGCCCCCCTTTGTCCCCGGTGTTGGTGATGCCCCCCTTTGTCCCCGGTGTTGGTGATGCCCCCCTTTGTCCCCGGTGTTGGTGATGCCCCCCTTTGTCCCCGGTGTTGGTGATGCCCCCCTTTGTCCCCGGTGTTGGTGATGCCCCCCTTTGTCCCGGTGTTGGTGATGCCCCCCTTTGTCCCCGGTGTTGGTGATGCCCCCCTTTGTCCCCGGTGTTGGTGATGCCCCCCTTTGTCCCCGGTGTTGGTGATGCCCCCCTTTGTCCCCGGTGTTGGTGATGCCCCCCTTTGTCCCCGGTGTTGGTGATGCCCCCCTTTGTCCCCGGTGTTGGTGATGCCCCCCTTTGTCCCCGGTGTTGGTGATGCCCCCCTTTGTCCCCGGTGTTGGTGATGCCCCCCTTTGTCCCCGGTGTTGGTGATGCCCCCCTTTGTCCCCGGTGTTGGTGATGCCCCCCTTTGTCCCCGGTGTTGGTGATGCCCCCCTTTGTCCCCGGTGTTGGTGATGCCCCCCTTTGTCCCCGGTGTTGGTGATGCCCCCCTTTGTCCCCGGTGTTGGTGATGCCCCCCTTTGTCCCGGTGTTGGTGATGCCCCCCTTTGTCCCCGGTGTTGGTGATGCCCCCCTTTGTCCCCGGTGTTGGTGATGCCCCCCTTTGTCCCCGGTGTTGGTGATGCCCCCCTTTGTCCCCGGTGTTGGTGATGCCCCCCTTTGTCCCCGGTGTTGGTGATGCCCCCCTTTGTCCCCGGTGTTGGTGATATCCCCCTCTTCCCTTGACTTGTACTCGCTGGGACGCAGGCGAGAGAGATTTCACACACTCACTCACTCACTCCGTCCGAAAGTAAAAGACTGGGCAGGCGGTACAAAATACTCTCCATTGAAAAGTAGGGTCTCCATTGGTACATTAAGATAAAACACTTAAGTGTCCGGGGCCCAAAACTGTTCAACAGCCTCCCACCATGCATAAGGGGAATTACCAATAGGTCCCTGGCTGCCTTCAAGAGGGAGCTTAGTCCGTGCCGGATCAGTCGGGCTGGGGTTCGTACTTTGAACTATGTGCGGCCAGCAGTAACAGCGTGGTTGATCAGGCCCTGACCCAACGGGAGGTCTGGTCGTGGATCGGTCCCCAGGGGCGTTAATCCCCGGAGTACCCTTCTGGTAGATCCCCCTCGCCCCGGTGTTGGTGGTCGTCGTCGTGATCTTCCTTGTCCCCCCCCCCCCTCCCCAAGTTTCCCCAACTTCAACACTAGTGAAGTTGAGGATGGGGTCGGGATCGCCCTTCCCTACTCACCACTTCTTAGATAAATTCACTAGACATCACATTGGCTGTGAGCCAACTACATCCATCACAATAACTTCCACAGCATAGTAGTCCTTTGTCAGTGCCGCTAAGATTTACTGACCCCTGTGGTGGTCACACCTTTATTTCAGTGTCAATACTCGTTAAATAATATATGAAATTAATCACATTGTTAAAATGTTTAATTTTCAGGTATTTCCCCAAGAGAAGCAGCAGTATGTACTAGGGATGACCATAAGTCTCTCTCCGTATATAACCCAAAGTTATTCAATCAATATTAAAGGTCATAGTTTAAAATAGACTTAGGATGGCCCCAAAATGGAAACTGGATGTTAATAGAATTACTGCCACGAGAGAGAGAGAAATAGCTCTCTCTCTCTCTCTCTTATATAGCTAGCTCGTCACGTTGAAGGTTGGTTCATTGTTACCTGATATGCGTGTCCAAGATTGATACAGACCAGTCCTTATATAACATTACTGTGATTGAAGTGGCTGTATGATTACTCAGCAATTCTCTAAGACATTACAAAAGTGAATGAATTCCTTTCTGTAAATAGTGCATCGTTGTTATAAAACTGGATGAAAACAATACTGTAGAATGTGTAACGAGAGAGAAAAGTAGTTCATAAGAATGCTTTCTTACCTACCCTCGGTGTTCTCCCTCCACCACACTTTCCCGAGGAGCAACTATGGCATGAAATATAAAAGTGTCAGTGTCGTTTGAAAACGCGTATAACAGAGAGCAAGTTGGACAAACTTCCGCTCCAAGACGAGCTTTTCATATACAAACTTTCGTGCCGTACATAAATCTTTCTTGGGAAGTGTAGAGATTTTAAGGTCAGACTAAAGAGTCGGGTGTGGGGACTTTGGCTACGTACAGGTGTCTGTCCAGTTAGGGTGAGTTAGGCTAAGAGATTAGTGATGCTGAAGGGGCTCTGATATTTTTCTGTCATGTCGTCGTATGTTTGACTACTACTAGTGCTTTTATGATGAGGTCAGCATCTTTCCAAGCCATGAAGTGCGCATGTTAATGCCGGTGGATTAACATGTAGAATCCTGGTGTTTGATTTGTCAGGTGTTTTTTTTTTTTACCTTCATGTGGGATTGATGTCGGTTTGGCTCGGAATATCGATTGTACTTAGATCATGCATGGGTTAGGACGTCAGGATGGTGACAGATCACTGTGACAACGATGGCTCATATTCCTGTAAGTAAAACGTGTTTCATCATATTCTGTTAGGGAGGAAATAATAGATTATTATCCCTGGAGTGCTATTAACCCATGGTAACCCAAGAAAGCCAAGCTCATTTCCACTGGGGTCCTTAGGTATTCTCCAAGATGCGACCCACAATCAGCTATCATCCAGGTACCTATTTTCTACTAGATAGACACGGGCAGGTGTAAAGAAACTTACTCGTACATATTTCCCGGTATTCTGGTAGTGGTCGTAGCAAAACCTGTATATTATGTTGAGATATACCAACAGGTATGTTAAGACAATACATGGGTTTGTCTGGAGGTAGTGTTTTTTGGTGTGGTTTTGAATCTTGATTTTGGCATCTGGGGTTGTCTTGGGCGTGGGCTTCTCTACGGTAAATTTCTTCGAAGCGAAAAGTTACGTAATAAAGATGCCTTACTGTTTCACACGAGAATAATTGGGTATCTTTACTTTGTAGACATTTCTCCTAGTAGCTTTATCAGTACAATTCAAGGATATACTGTGAAAGCAGTAGAATTATATATTCGAAAGACGAGGAAATGAGTCCCTTAACGTAGGAGTAGGTGATCACTGTAGTCTTGAGGAATCCAAAGCACGGGCAGGAAAATTAGCACCGACATCAAAACTTATTGCTTGGGAAGCATTGACAATGGTTTGGGCTAATATTTTTGCAAGTGCCTAGCATGGGCCAGTAAGCCTGTTGCAGTGTTCCTCCTTTCTTACGCTCTTCTGTTTCATCCACCAGCGACCGTATTGATAATCTTTAGTAGGTTAAATATTTTCTTAATGCCATGAAAGCGCATATTGTGTTCTTCACATACGTAGAAAGACCTGTTATCTGGTGGTACACAATACGTGGCACACTGACACTGTAGATGAGCGGGTGAGAGGAACACTGCTATGATTGATTTATTGAACCAGGGCTATGATGTCAGTGGCTCCCAGCTGCAAGGACGTAAAGCTGCCCTCAATGTTGAGTTTGTGAGAGTGGAGTCTTAACTCCTGACCTTGCCTCTTAACTAGTAAACTCGTTAGTGATTAACTTTTTAAGTTAATGTCATTTGAGTTTAGTTAGTTTAGGTCCTACCCCAGGATGCCACCCACAACAGTCGAGTAACTTTATCAGGCTTTGTCAAGCCTGACGAAGCTCCTGGTGAGCGAAACGTTGCCACAAAAAAGTTACATTTAGTTGCACATGTCCTTTAAGCTAACAACTAGACTTATTTTTTTTTGCTAGGTAAGAGAGGCAATAGGATGTGTTGGGAGACTTGTCCATACCTGCCACCTAGGTCAGGGTTGAACTTTGGTACTTAGGCTTGTGAGCTGAACGCGCTGCTGTTGCCTAAATGTAGTGTAAGAATATTGAATTTTTATTTAGGTTTAAGATTAGGAAGTTAAAATGAGCGTATTTGAAGCTTGTGTAGTTAAGAGGAAAGTATAAAATTAGAATAATGCTAATGTAGGCAGAGGTGAGATATTATTGTGTTTAATGAGTTTTTCAACTTCGTATTTATTTTGTACATAAAAATATTAAACTATTTATATTGTGATTGTTTTTATGAATAGGTTTAGCTTGGGCGTGTTATTGTATATATTGTCAACACAATTGTCCTTAAAGATTTGTTAATTCATATCATGAATTAAGGAAAGATCCTGGACTTCAATTTACGAAAGCAAAGCAAATGTAGTAGTGGATAAGGTAGATTATAGTGGGAAAATAAACATGTTATTCAGAGACTGGGAAACTAACGTGCCCATTAATCTTTGTTTCCTACATGTTGAAGTGCTGCAAATATTTATCTATTGCCTTGTCTCGTGCCGCAGGTCTGGGGATGGAAACATCGTCAGGTGCTTCATCCTCGTCAGGGATGTGCTCGTTACCTTGCACACCTGTAGAAGAGGAGCGGCCAGGCTCCTCCCTCAGCACAGCCTCCCGCTCCTCCAGGATCCCTCGGCTCACCCGCTCTGCCTCCCTCAGGATAAAGTCCTCCACAGTGTCGTATAGCAGCAGCGTAACAAACAACACGCCGGAGACGAAGACGACGACGGAGGGCAAGAGCAACGCAGACCCGCGTCCTACCTCTCGTGCAGAAGTTAAAGGCATCACCAGGTGAGGCCGGGCTCTCCTAATGTCTTAAGAGGTCAGTGTGTGTGTGTGGGGGGGGGGGTGAGAGGGAAGGATGAGTACTCCAGCTGTCGTTCATGTAATGTAGCTTAACTCGTAAAGTTGCATATTGCAGCGCTTCTAAAATTATGATTCGAGTCAGTTTGTGTATTATCTCAGTTTCTGAGGCAATTTTTTTTTATCTTGTGAGGTAACTGTTAGTTGCTCTTGTGAGCTAAGCTGTCAAGTAAAAAACTTAGGCATAATTGTCAGATGCTCTTTCAGAAACTGAACAGGTTGATTGAGAATCTTCAAAACAAGAGAAACAACGTTAATGGTGGTAGTTATGAAATACTACTACTACTACCACTACTACCACCACTACTACTACTACTACCACCACCACTACTACCACTACTACTACCACTACTACTACTACCACTACTACTACTACTACTACTACCACTACCACCACTACTACTACCACTACTACCACTACCACCACTACCACCACTACTACTACTACCACTACTACTACTACCACTACTACTACTACTACTACCACCACTACTACTACTACCACTACTACCACCACTACCACTACTACCACCACTACCACTACTATACTACTACCACCACCACCACTACTACTACCACCACCACATATTACTACCACCACTACTACTACCACTACTACTACCACTACTACTACTACCACTACTACCACCACTACCACTACTACCACCACCACCACTACTACCACCACTACTACTACCACCACTACTACTACCACCACTACTACTACTGCTACCACTACTACTATCACTACCACTACTACTACTACCACTACTACTACCACCACTACTACCACCACCACTACCACCACTACTACTACCACTACCACCACTACCACCACTACTACCACTACCACCACTACTACTACCACTACCACCACTACTACCACTACCATTACTACCACTACTACCACTACCACCACTACTACTACCACTACCACCACCACTACTACTACTACCACTACCACCACCTCTTCTTCCTGGCTATATATAGCCGTCCTGCTCCACTTCTGGTTAGTTTGACTTTGTAAATGGTCCAAGTCGGACCGAAACGTCGTCGTAAGCTTCTCTCTCTTATGTGCGGGTTAATTGTGTATCGTTCCAGTCACGGTATTGTGCCTTTTTTTGTTATTTATTGATAGTTATGAAATCTGTGGCACACTAAAGACTGCACTGTTCTACGCTCAGGGCAGGAGAGAGAGAGAGAGCAGTTAGAAAATGTGCAGAGGTCATATATTGCCCGCATAGTGTCATAAAAACTTCTAAACTGCTGGGAACATCTCGGAGCACTTGCATTATCATCTCCAGAAAGGAGAAGAGAAATGTATTTAATAATAATAGGCGCTCCCTACACAAATTGATTAAGTTCTACATAAACTGTGAGCGCCATCCCGCCGAATACATTCCTGTTTCTTTGTTTATTTTTTCTGTCGTGTGGCGCAGAGATTGAAGGTCACTTTCCCTTGAAAATTGGCATTCTGAGCCTTGGTAACTCGTGCATGATCTAAATATAAAATTTGATGGAACTGATACTCGGAGGAGGACTTTTTGCTCAACTGTGGGAGTGCAGGATTTACACACCTCAGCGTCAGGAAACACTTGTGTTTCCTGATAAACCTTACCTAACCTAACCAAACCTCTGCCAGTAGTAACTTTTTTTTTAATTGGCGCTTGCTGAGAGTGCCTTGTGTACATGAAGGACACTTGAGTCTGTCACTCACCTAAACATTGCTGCTCTAACGTACTGGGGTGAAAAAATTGGCAGTGTATAAAATAAACTCAACTACAGTATCAACATCTTCGGTTCAATACCTTAATATTACCAGCAGAAATCATAAATCGGCTGTGGTGGCTGTGCGGGTCTTTGGGTCATTAGCAACATACTAGTTACTCTTGCAGTCAACAAGGAAACCTAGCCTTAGGCGGGGCTGCTAGGGTAGAAGGAACCTCGAAACTTGTTCCATGTGTTACTCCTTGTACGAATAAATCTTAAAGTAGTAAAGCAACAATCTACATTATCTCCAGAGGTCTGGAGCTAATGTTGAATGTTGTCACCCTTTCCCTTCCCGTTTGATTCATATTAAACTCGGTTAATGGTGATAACTAAGTCATGAAGATTCCTAACTAAACCAGCAGACTGAAAGTGCGTGTAGACACGATTGCTTAGTGAAGCGTGTCAAACTTTTAGATGCGGTGTGGGGAATATGTGGACCAAATTTAAGGAAACTCTGTTGGAAAAGGATAAAATCTCAGAGGAGAGAGAAGCGACTGTTGAAGCGACCACAGCTCCCACCAACCTATATGACAAGAGCAGCTCAAATGTCTATAGTCTATACATTAATCCAGATAAGTGCCATATCATGGGAAATGCTGTGGATCATGTTCATTATATACCGTGAGAGGGCGAGCGCATATGTAATATAAAAATGTGCTACAGGATATTACGATAGGATACCGACGAGAAATATTAAAATAGACCAATGATGGTTTAAATACGAACGTTGCAATACCATAGTAAGACACCTGAGGTCTTTCAAAGAACAAGGAACAAATGGCGTCCGTGCTCGATACAACTTTTAGCCCATTATTTACAGTCAGACTAAGGGATCATGTTCAGGCCACAACTTTGAGCCTGAAACTCTCCTCCATCCTACTCCTTCCTGAAAGGTTACCTATAGTTAGTTTCAGGGGTTACTGGCCCCACGCCTCAGACCCAGACCAGGCCTCCTGGCTGCTGGCACCATTGACCATGCTGTTGGTGCCAGCTGCACCAAAGTATGCATCATAGCCTGGCTCATCAGAAATCAACTTTAGGAACTTATCAGTATTCCTCTTGAAGACAGCTAGAGGTTTGCCGAGGGTGGTGAAGTCTTTGTTCTTTACACAGCATTTCGTCTTTAATTTTTCATTGGAGGTATGCACCGTCTGCCAAGCGTCTTGCATTCGTGTGAAGTGATTTTTAGTGTGCAAGTTTGGAACCACTCCCTGTAGGATTTCGCATGTTTAGATTATGATGCATCTTTCTCGCCTACATGCCAAGGAGTACTGTTTGAGGGACTTTAAGTGTGCCCAGTAATTAAGGTGCTTGACTGAATTTATATGAGCAGTAAAGGTTCTCTTAAGTTCTGCAGCACTACAATTTTACTATGCTACTACTATATTGCTACTATTATACTGCTACTACTATACTGCTACTACTATACTGTTACTACTATACTGTTACTACTATACTGTTACTATTATACTGCTACTATTATACTGCTACTATTATACTGCTACTATTATACTGCTACTATTATACTGCTGCTACTATACTGCTACTACTATACTGCTACTATTATACTGCTACTATTATACTGCTGCTATTATACTGCTACTATTATACTGCTACTATTATACTGCTACTATTATACTGCTGCTATTATACTGCTACTACTATACTGCTACTACTATACTTCTACTATTATACTGCTACTATTATACTGCTATTATACTGCTACTATTATACTGCTACTATTATACTGCTACTACTATACTATTATACTGCTACTACTATACTATTATACTGCTACTACTATACTGCTGCTATTATACTATTATACTGCTACTATTATACTGCTACTACTATACTGCTACTATTATACTGCTACTATACTGCTACTACTATACTGCTACTATTATACTGCTGCTATACTGCTACTACTATACTGCTACTACTATACTGCTACTACTATACTGCTACTATTATACTGCTACTATTATACTGCTACTATTATACTGCTACTACTATACTGCTATTATACTGCTACTACATACTGCGCTGCTACTCTATCGCTGCTCTACTCTAACGTCTGCTACTACTAACGCTGCTCTACTCTATACTGCTCCCAAAACACAAACTGCGCCTACAAAAAAATACTCTGCTCACTCTATACTGCTCTGCTCCCTTTCAAACTGCTGCTCACTCTATACGTTTCTCAAACTCTAACTGCTGCGCTACTTTATACTGCTGCTGCTTTTCTAAACGCGCTCACTCTATACTGCTGCTCTACTCTATCTGCTGTTTTCAACTCATCTGCTGCTCTACTACATACTGCGCTACTAAACAACCTCCTGCTGCTACTAAAAACTGCTGCTGCTACTACAAACTGCTGCAAAAAAATTTTACTATACTGCTGCTGCACTCAACGCTGCTCTACTACTAACTGCTGCTCTAAAAACTATACTGCTGCTCTACTACATACTGCGCTCTACTCTATACTGCGGCTCTACTCATCTGCGCTGCTACTACTATAAAACGCTGCTGCTACTCTAACGCTGCTCATTTCTATACTGCTGCTGCTACTCTATACTGGCTGCTACTACATACGCTGCTGCTACTTAAAACTCTCCAATTTTTTTTTTTGTGCTCTAATCTGCTCTACTACTAACTGCTCTACAACTCTAACTGCTGCTGCTCTACTATACTGCTGCTCACTACTATACTGCGAACTACTATACGCGTTTGCTACTACTATTAAACTGGCTGCTACTAAAAACCTCTATCAAAACTGCTTCGCATTTTAATACTGCTGCTGCTACTACTATACTCTGTTTCTACTCTAACGCTGTGCTACAACTAACTGCGCTTCTACACTTCCCTCTCCCTACAAACTAACTGCTGAAAACTAACCCTATACTGCGCGCTTAAAACTTTTAAAAAAATTTGGCCCCTTTGGCCCCTTTTTCCCCACTACTATACTGCTGCTCTACTACTATACTGCTGCTCCACTATACTGTGCTCACTCTAAACTGCGCTGTTAACTATATCTGCTGCTACTACTAGCTGCTCTACACTATACGTCTGCTACTCAAATACTCCTCTTCTCTTTAAAAAAAAAAAAAAAAAACCTTCTCTTTTGCCCTACTACTATACTGCTGTTACTACAATAC